GCTAACAGTGGCAACTCCACTGCTCCTGCTGACTGTAGATACAGATCAAAGACAATGGGGCAAAACAGATCCAGAAAATGTGTATTATAACCCATTGTTGTTGTTCTGATAACACTGTTCTGGACAATACTATATTGATGAGCATCTGAGGCGAAGCTATGCAGCTAGATTCCCTCAAGCGGCCCACAACAAAAGAGCCTGAGTACGTGGCAACGTCTGAGCTGAAGCCAGCAATCATTACCAGACAGCAGCAGCCAATCAAAAACAGGCTGCGGCTGAAACAGGAAACAACACAGGGAAGCATGCCCAGTTTGATTTAGGGTCTGGGCACATGTGTCATTATGAGGCTCAAACAATAGTCTGGGCTGGAATAAAAAGGGTGTTTCCGTTTCACGATTAGTGGGAGACACAATGTAAGTGTGAGCGATGGTGGAGGTGGTGCCTCCCGTCTGGGAGAGTTTACACACAGCTTGTTCTGAGGAAAGAGCTTCAAGTGACACGAAGATGCTGAGCAAAAACACAGTTGGCACAGCATGTCTGAATCAGTTTCACAACATCGAACGTCACTCTTAGTCTCACCAAGTTACAGAATTTCCTGCTAAGTATGACTACGTGTGACGGTAACAATCATCAGGCTGCGTTAAAGAACGGCAATGAGGCTGTGCTGCTGTATGTAACTGACATCTGTGTATTTTCCAGTTATTTCTGACCATACGATTAAAAATATATATATAAACGATGCTTGAGAAAATAAACTCTCAGTTAACAAAACTGGTTAAATTAAATTCTCATTTAATTCTGATCATCTTGCTCCCAGTGATTTTTCTTTGGGGGCGTCAAAGATTCCTCAATGCAGGAAAAATGCCACCACAGTCACATTTCAGCTTATAATAACATTCACAAAGGATCAGAAATGCTGTTCTGATGAATGCTAACCTCCACTTCACAGATATGTGGCGGGACAACGTTGCTATGCATTAAGACAAAAGGAGCATTTACACACCTGAGCTGGCAAGTTAGACTGGTTTAAGAATTCCTCAGTGAATGAACAAAACGCTCTCCTGTTGCTATTTTTGTGTGCGTGGATTAGAAGACAAGAAGGCTGGTAGACCAGGAAGTTAAAGACAACAAACTGCTGGACAAAAAAACTGCATGTGCTGGCCAGAAAAATACACACTGACAACATCTGGTGCAACTGAGAGATTTCAACAGAGAGACAAGGGACATGAGGGAAAGAGGGAGAGGGAAGGAAAAACTAAAATATGAAAGAGGTGACAGAACAATTTTATATCGCTGCAGGGGTCATCCGGTCTTTATGTTACAAAACTCGACTTGTGCAACACATCACGGTTTGCAGGGTAAAAATGCAGCAGTCAGCTGATGGTAATGAAGCTTATAATGTAACTGAACCCAGCGGAGCGAGGAGCTGCAACACACGGGGTCTGTTTGCACTTTTTGGTTTAAATTAACTGCATTAGTTAGAAGCATTAAAGCTGTGTTCACGACTCTGCTGGTTGGCCTCTCATGACCCGTCATAGTCACGGTTCTCTGGTGTAAAAATGAAATGTTGGAAAGCGTGTGGCTGCTGTTGGTCGTATCCCACCCACATCGGAGTCAGCCTGAGAGAGCCACTGAAGTGTTGTGAAAATGCAAAGTCACTCTGGTCATGGTTTACTAAAGCAGTCGTCCGCAAAGCGGGGGCTGCGAGAAGCAAATGTAAAAATAATCAAAGTGCAGATTTTCAGCCATTATTGTTACAAAAAAAAACAAAAACAGTGACTGCATTTAAAATTAAACCGTGCAAATAAAATTATACCCATAATGGGTCCCAGTAAAATCTCATTAGGTGAGTTTGAAATGAAACTAACGAGTAAGTTTGCAGCAACAGTGTAGGCGTCTGCTGCTCGCTACACAAACACACACACACGGCCTGTGAGTCGGTATGTTTGCTCGGTACTACAGTTCAAACATGGAGATCACGTTGACGGATGTATTCTGCTGGTAGCCTGGATTACATGACAATAAAATAACTTTATGGCTGCATGACTGTTGTGTTCTTGTGTGTTGTCGTCGTGCCTGGATTTGGACAGATCTCACCAGAGCTAGCAGGGGCCACTGGTGCTGTTATGATGGGGGGTCGGATGCTGAGAAGTTTGGGAGCCACTGGTCTAAAGAAAAGCTTTGAGGCTCTTCTGAACATCTTGACTTTAACAGATTAAAGCTGAGACGCCCTCAAAATCATCCACCAGCTTCAGTCTTATATGCTCTGATCGGTCCATATAGTGCAATCAATGCCAGATTCTTGTGCATCAGACTGAAACATCTGGTCAATCTTTCAGCAAACAAAAAATAGTAGCTTCCTCTATGAACACTGATGAAGTTCTGGTCAGACTGCAGGGTAAACTTTGCCACCGGTTTGAGGACTTCAAAGTCCTCGTGCATCCTCGAGTGTCCTCCACACAGAGTGGATACACTCCATTAAAAACACAAACTGGCCTTTGCACCGAATTCACGAGAGCCCAAACACAGACTCAGTGAAGCCTTGAGAAAATGCATTCACGTAATCCAGACAGACTGAAAGACACAAAAAGAGAAGTAAAAATGCACATTGCTTCAGATTTACTGTAACAATAAGGATCTTAGCTGAAGGCAAAGAAATTGACCTCAAAGATTGATAGAAAGAGGAAATACAGGACACAGATGGAGTGTTTGGATGTCATCATGTGTCTGTTATTGCCGACCTTTGTGTGATAAATACAACAACTCACACAGCTGTCTACACAAAAGCATCACAAAGCTGGAGCAGCACACAAACACCAGCCACATGACTCAGACGGGTCGTAAAGAGTCCTAATGATTAAACTCCAGCGTGGTAAAGTTTAAAGTATCAGCAAAAGCACAGCACAGTCACACTGATTGTGACGTTTAAGCGGTTTTAAAACACACAGAAATGCAGACAAACAGCCACACAGGTAGCTGCACCGACCCCCCTCACCAGCTGCATGTTAAACTCTCCTCTCATTTACAGCAGCATGACAGCAGAGTGCACACTGAATAATCAGAGCAGCAAACGAAGCTCTCCCTCACCCTCCACCACCAGCTCCTCCTCATCCAGCTGCTTGGTCCAGAACTCCCAGCCCATCTTCTCATACCAGGCCACACACTCCCAAAACCAGTATCCACAGTCAAGACAACTCAAACTGGAAATCA